GTTTGAAAGGATGCCATTTTGTGATCATACAGGGATTTATATGTTGTGCTTGAACTTTCTAGATTTTCATGAGAGGAAGAGTGAATTGATTTTGCTCGGCCTGTCAAATTCTTCCAGAGCACCCATAGTTAATCTAGAAAAATTAAGTTTTTCTATGAAGCCCTGGGTAAAAAAAATCTAGGTCAGTGATCACCAAACTTGTTCCTGGAGTGCCGGTGTCCTGCAGATTTTAGCTCCATCCCTAATCAAAAACACCTGAACAAGCTAATCAAGGTCTTTCTAGGTATACTTGAAACATCCAGGCAGGTGTGTTGAGGCAAAATGGAGCTAAACCCTGCAGAGACCCTCCAGGACCAGAATTGGTGACCCCTGATCTAGGTGTTATTCTTGATGATGGCTTGAGCTTTGACAAACAGATAAATGCAGTGGTCAAGTCCCTATTCTTTCAGCTTCGACTTTTAAAAACAGTCAAACCTATTTTATCCAGAAAAAAATTTAGAAAATAAAACCCATGCTTTTATTACCACTAAATTGGACTACTTTAACTTATTATACTTTGGCATTAGTCAGAAAATATCCCGGTTACAATTAGTTCAAAATGCTGCTGCAATGCTTTTAACAGGTACAGTAACAAGAAACATGAGCACATTACCCCAGTTTTACGCTCTTTGCACTGCGCTCTATTGAGTGACATTTAAAATGCTTCTCTTGATTTTTAAATCTCTAAATGACCCGGAACCTTCTTATCTGTCAGACATGTTAATTGAGCATCAGCCTGGTTGGTCTCTTCGGTCATCTAACCTGAGACTGTAAATGCATCCCTAAGTCAAGGCTGAAATGCAGAGGTGACCGTGCCTTCGCAGTAGCTGGTCCTAGGTTGTGGAATGCTCTGCCCCTCTTTATCCGATCTGTTTCATCCCTGTCTGTTTTTAAATCTAGGTTGAAAACTTTGATTGATTTGGCATTTTATCAGTTAAAATTGTCTTAGCTATCATTTTATAATATATATATATATATATATATATATATATATATATATATATATATATATATATATATACACACACACACACACACACAAATTGTTTTGATTTGTACTGTGCAGCACATTGGTCAACTTCTGGTTGTGTTAAATAGTTATATATATATATATATAAGTAAAATTGGCACTATATCAGTAAATGGGGAAGGAATCATACAGATTTGATAATACTTTGTCCAGGAAAAATATCTAGAATGGTTTGAAGAACATAGAACGACCATAAATTGCATCATTTATACATTTATTGTCTTCATGGCTGATTAGTTTAAGCGTTTTATCTTCTTTTCCTTCAGCTACAGCGATGGCTGAATATCTTTACTTCTGTGCTGCATATGTTAAGCTCAAATAATTTATTCTAGAAATATTACAGATAATTATATCTAGAGATGCAGCACTTTTTTGTATCTACATATGAACTGTCATCATTAGTATCTGTAAATCTCATGATAACCACAATAAAGCACAAAAGTATGTATTTTTAAATATATACACACTACCTGAAAAAAGTCTTGTTATATCCAAGTTTTAGGGACAACAAATAACTTGATTTCTTGTTGGTTATTTTGTATCAGCATTGGCTTTTATGAAAGGCAAAAGCCTCTAGATTACAGTTATACCAAAATAAAATATGATCATGCCTTGATTTTTAATGATTTAATTAGGACAGTAAGGTCTGACTTTGCTTAGACGAAAAGTCTTGTCACTTAACAGAAATAATGTCCAGTATAGAATATAAAGTTATGGTGAAGTGGAAAAAGAATGAATATTGTGTATGACTCCCATAAGCTTGGAGGACTGCATCCACACATCTCTGCAATGACTGCGATGCTCTGTATGTCACCCATGTCTAGCACACACACAGTCTTGTTGTCATACGGTCTCTGCTCAGCTCCAGGCAAGCCAGTCTGTGCAACAGGCAATTTTTGGTTCAGCAATCGCAACTTTACCACAGAATGAGCCGTAAAAACCACAAACATCCCATGAATCATCCAGAATCTGGTTTTATTCCTTGGAATTGAAATGTTTTTGCTCTTCCCATGATCTTCAACTGGTGTTTTGACTATATTTAACTGACAGTAGCACTGCTTCATCATCTTTGGGTCGTTTGCCATGAACGCTTAAAGGGATTTTTCACATAGGAGTTAAAACTGTCATCCTTTACTCAGCCTTAAGTCATTCCAAGCACATGTGATTTGATTTCTGTTGTAAAAGAGACTGAATGTTTACTGAAGTGTCAGTGAATGATGTCAGGTCCAAAAAACAAAACAAAAAAAAAACATGAAAGCATGATAAAAGTAGTTCACATGACGCAAGTGCACTATTTTAAGGGTTATGCTAAGTCATACTGTAGATTTAACTTAAATTTACATGATCTAATACATTTGCGATTAGTTACTTTATATATATATATATATATATATATATATATATATATATATATATATATATATACACACACACACACAGTTGAAGTCAGAATTATTAGCCCCCTTCAAATTTCTTTTCTTCTTTTTTAAATATTTTCCAAATTATGTTTGACAGAGCAAAGACATTGTCACAGTATGTCTGATAATTTTATTTTTTTTTCTGGAGGAAGTCTTATTTGTTTAATTTCGACATTTTAACAATTATTAACGGATTTAACAATTTTAGGAACAAAATTATTAGCCAATTTAAGCTATGTTTTTTTCTCGATAATCTATAGAACAAACCATCATTATACAATAACTTGCCTAATTACCCTAACCTGCCTAGTTAACCTAATTAACCCAGTTAAGCCTTTAAAGGTCACTTTAAGCTATATAGAAGTGTCTTGAAAAATATCTAGTCAAATATTATTTACTGTCATCATGGCAAAGATAAAATGAATCAGTTATTAGAGATGAGTTATTAAAACTATTATGTTTAGAGATGTGTTGAAAAAAATTGCTCTTGGTTAAACAGAAATTGGTGAAAAAACAAACAAGCGGTCTAAAAATTCAGGGGGGCTAATAATTATATTTATTTATTTATATGTTTCTTTATTTACCCAGATAAATAAAAACATTGAGATCAAGATCTCATTTACAAGGGTGACCTGACCAAGAGGTCCACAACACACGACTTATGAAAAAAATACGAATAATATTTATAATAAGTAGAAAATTAAGATAATATACAACAACAGTTAGTTGTCCAGCTATACCACATTAAAATATATTAAAAACACATACATTGAGAAATGGACTGTTGTTGTTTGTTAAAAAGGATAGAGTGAAACAATGTAATTGGGATTAGCTCAGACATTTTAGTTCAGACTGAAGAGTATTCCAGGATGAGGGATGGCATGAATAAAGGCTCGCTTCCCTATTTCAGTTTGAATCCGGGGAACAGTCAAATGATAAGATTCACTTGAACGTAGAGCATACTGGCTTTTGACTAATGAAGAAGGGAACTTAGATATGAAGGCACCAGGCCTAGAAGAGCCTTGTAGACCAGTCATCCAGTGGGTGTACCTTCTTACATACAGAGAAGGCCACTCAGCTTTGACATACAGTTTACAATGGTGAGTAAGTCTCTGACAGCCTGTAACAAACCTGTGATAGACAGAGTTTAAAGGCTGAAGACATTTGGTCGAAGCATTCATATATAAAACCATCACCATAGTCAATCAATGGTAAAAATGTTGCAGACACCAAATGTTTGCGAGCTTTAGGAGAAAAGCAGGATGCATTTTGATAGTAAAACCCAAGCTTAACCTCAATTTTCGAACCATATTTGCTATGTGTTCTTAAAGGAAAGCTCCTGATCGAGTAGAAAGCCTAAATACTTATAGCTGGACACTAAATTTATTTCTTGACCTTGGGCAGTGGTAATTAATGCTTGGTTTTGCACAGGAGTTGGACAATTTGTGAAAATCATTCATCCAGATTTGTCTACATTTAAAACCAGTTGAAGATCCTTAAGACGAGACTGAACACTGTTTAAAGCAGACTGTAAAAAGTGTATGGCCTGAGAAAATGAAGGAGAGCTGAATAGCTTTCAACAATTCAAAAAATGGTTTGGAACTGTTTTAAAAAGTTGATGATGAGTAATGATGATATAATGTTGATAGACAAAAAAAAGCTTTTAAAAAAATGTTCGGAAATTAAAAAAAAAAAATCTCAGTAGTTGGAAAAAACATACAAATATCTCTTATGAAAAGATTTAAGGGAGAGTTCACCCTAACAAAATTAAAATTCTGTTATAATTTACTCACCCTTAACTTTTTAAACCAGTTTTAGTTAGTTAGTTTGCTTGGTTGTTATAAGATATTTTGAAGAATGTTGAAAACCTGTAACCATTGACTTCTACACTAGTTGTTTCTCCTATGGAAGTCAATATTTACAGATTTCCAACATTCTTCAAAATAGCATATATTTTTTTCACAATAAAAAAAAATGTTAAACTCAAGTCAAGATTGAGTAAACAATGACAGTTTTTTTCCCCTTAAATCTGCCTTTAAAAACTCACATGCTCTTGTTCCTGTTTTGTATTTTTGTAACAGGAATGTAGTAATATTTTCTACGTTAAAAAAGAAAAAAAAATCCCCAAAAGATGATTGAACAACCATACAGTAAAAATCTTTTAAAAAGAGATTTAAAAGGGATGGTTCATCCCAAAAAATCAGTTTGAGGTGTTTTTTTTCCCCCACAAAAGAAGATATATTAAAGAATGTTGGAAACCTGTAACTATTGACTTCCATAGTAGCTGTTTTCCTTCCATGAAAGTCAATGGTTACAGATTTCCAACATTCCTCAAAATATCTTCTTTTGCATTCAACAATTGAAAATACATGGTTTGAAACAAGTCGAGGATGAGTTAATGATGACATAATTGTCATTTTTGGAATAGATGATTAAATAAGAAATGAACACTGTCCTTTCAGAAACTCGCACGCTCTTGTTCTTATGTTTTGTTTTTTGTGTTTTTCTAACAGGTCGGTGGTGATGCCGATAGCGAATGAGTTTTCTCCAGACGTGGTGCTGGTTTCCTCAGGCTTCGACGCTGTGGAGGGGCATCCGCCACCTCTGGGAGGATACAAGCTCACGGCCAAATGTGAGTGTTGTGCTTTTCCCTGTACATAGAGAGATTCTCGTGGGATGAAAAGATGAGTCACTGACGCAGAAGTCAGCCTTTGTCCCACTCCTCTTTCTCTCTGGCTCATTTCTCATGTCTTAAAAGCTTTCATTTCAGTTAAATTTATCATGTGCTAATGCCACAAAAACAAGAGACCACGCTCTTGTGTGCAAAGTCTAATCCCCAAAGGGAGGGATTGTACCAGTCATCCTTTCTCATACTTCCAGATCCCTAATGTTTTTCCTCTTTTTTTTTTTTTTTTTGTTCCCATGTGTGTGTAATATCAAGATGGCATTCCAGGCTTGTTTCTAAATCAAACATTTAATGATTGTACAGTGCTTGTTGTCCAAAAAGACTGCTTTTATCCTGTTAGAGGGATCATAAGGCCGGCTCTTATAGATTACATCTCTTTGCTGAAAGCTGTCCATATGTCAGTGCTTGAGCGTAAAGTAGAAACACCGCTCACTAGCCCAGAGACTAAAGAAAGGCAGGTTGTCCTTTATTTTAAATCTTTTAAATCAGATTGATTCCATCTGCTGATCTAAGAAGGGCTCAATGAGCTGTGACAACGCTTGGTTTTTTCATTTATCTGCTCATCTTTAAGGAATAAGTCATCCATTAAACAATTGTGCCGTTATTTACTCACCCTCATGTTGTTCCAAATGTTTTATTACATTTTTGAAATGTTTAATATGAAATTACAGAGTTACCCACAAGTTTAATGTGAGTTCTTAAAAGGCAAAAACAAAAATAAGCAGCTTTTTTAATGTCAGGACTCTTTAAAATAATGCTATTAAAATAGGTCAGGACTAGGCAGTGGTGGAAAGAGTACTGAAAATTCATACTCAAGAAAAAGTACCATTACTTGCCTAAAAATGTAGTGTGAGTAAAGTAAGATTATCTGTTGTAAATATTACTCAAAGTATGAGTAAAAAGTAGAGCTTTCAAAAGTACTCAAGAGTAGTGAGTATTACACTCTAAAAGCTGATGCATTTGCATGTAATTTGTGGATGTGTGTAAACGTAACATTCTGTAGTGCATTGATTGCCCAGCAGGTACACAACATCATAAGACATTAATATTAAGTTAGATTTAGGTTGAGATGTCAGGTGACTAAATTTACACATCTAGCCAGGGACAATGTTATTTTGATGTCCAATAATGACATCAAATGACATTGATATTTGGTTGATTTTAGGTTGTTACAAAATAACCAAAATCCATTGTCAACCCTACATTTAAAACCAATATTATATTGACGTCAAGTATTGACATTTATTCATTAGGCTACCAGAATCCAACGTCAGATAAATGTCAATAGTGGTAACATCCACACAAGCTGTAACATCATTAGACACTGATATTTGGTTGGTTTTAGGTTAGACATGATGGTTAGCCTGATGCTGTGTTCTGATGTCAATCCGAATTTTCATTTCCTAATAAAATGCAACGTCCCTATGACTTTGGGTACAACGTCAATCTGACGTCACGTTGAAATCTTGTGCCTGCTGTGTGTTTAGGCCATTTCGGTCATCATACAGTAAACATCCGTCATCTTCTCATCAGTGACCTGCATCTAAACAGTCTCTGGGTCAATGCGTGCAAGGACTTTGGACATGTTCTTGGACATTTGTAATGCTTCCAAACCGCTTGCTGCAATTATAAATGTCTTGAGGTAGATCATTACGAGGTGATGTACCTTCTATCAGGACTGATTTTTCTAATCCCCATAGACAAGAAAAAATAGTGACTGCAGGTTGAAGGAAAGTAGTGGAGTAAAAGTACCAATACGGCACTAAAAATGTACTCAAGTGGAAGTAAAAGTACACATTTTTAAAACTGCTTAGTTAATTACAATTCCTGAGGAAAAATTACTCAAATACAGTCATTTGAGTATTTGTAATTAGTTACTTTACACCACTGGGACTAGGATATAGGCTGTTCTTATTAGCCCTTAACTACATAGCTTAAAATGCACCATTGACAGAAATCTTTTGATCATGCTGGCATGCGTGCGTTGGCTCGAGTTCGCAGGCCGAGTGCCTTTGTGTCCCACCAGTGACGATCCATATCACACTGCTACGATAGTGATATTGCGTTTATACAGCAGTTCAACTGCATAATCGTGTGTATAAAAAACTGAAATCAAACACGGAAAATCTAAAAGTCCTTTTGTATAAGGAACTACTTACTTACACATCTGCAGCTGACGTCAGAACAGCAGAAACAGTTGCTACTTCACCAACGTCACTTTAGACCATTTGAATGATTCTCTAGTGTAATGTCTACAATGATGACAAAACAGGTGATTTTGCTGACATTTTAAGATTATAAGGCTGAACAGCATGAAATGCCATCAGTCTTCAGAGATTTTCCATTATTTCTCTGTTGCAATCTGGAGATCACAATAATTTGCCTCGAAAAAGCCAAACCAAAGAAAACACTACCAGGTTACTATGGTAAAAATACAGCACTACAAAATACAAACAAGAAAGAGATATGCTTAGAATCTCACTTACTTTTTTTGTAATGATTTGTTTGGTTGTAGTTTGAAATTTTCTCCCAAAAGGACTTATTATGCTGTCTCTGTCGTCTCTGTCATCTTGTGGTGGAACCATCTTTGCTCTGCTCAGTATGACAGGCTGATAGATGCCGACATGCTGAATCTCTGATATTATAAATATTTTAAATAGGCACTATCTTTATAAATAAACTGCATAGATGGAATCTAAAGAACTACATTCTCACCTAAAAAGCCTCAAAAGTGCATTATATTGTACATTATATTATCCTAGCAAAAGGTCAGTCCCCTCTATGTGTTAGCTTAGTCCTGGATACAGAAAGTAGATCAATATTACCCGACTACTGTGATCTAGCTGAGTTATGAGTGTCAAGACAGAAAGTTATATACGAGGAGCCTTGTATAGATTGATACACATAGACTGAAACTTTCAACTCTAGATAGTAGATACAGTTTGTTCACAATAATGCACAGGAAAGCCTCTACAAAAACGTTTTCCAAAACTCTCCTTTTGTGTTCCCGTAAAAGTTTGGAATTAAATGAATTATCCTTTTTTTCCATGTTGGAAATTGTATTTCTTTAAGGATGATATGCACAAGCACATTATGCACATAATGAGGCATGTCTCTGCTGTAATTTGTGTTGCATTTTAATACATGGAGCCAAGTGTGTGTATCATGTTCTCCGTGGTTGAATTGGGCTGGACGCTAGACGTGCTGAAGAGCGTCCCCATTGGGCCGTATCGTGCCAGCGAAGAATTAAAACAAAATCAAATCATCCACAATGGCCTTGAATATGAATCTTTGGGAAAGGGAGGTATAGTCAAATGCATATATTCAAACAAAGATCAAAAGAGCCTGGAGCAAAACGCTAAGCCACATTTATTAAAATTAAACCTGCCTCATATTACGTCTTTAGGCCCAGTAAATCCAGAGTGCCGTCTTTTTAACGGAGAGAATATGATGTAATACTGTCTTTTTTCCCCTCATCTCTGTCATTGATTTTTTTCTTCATCTCTTGTTTCTTTGATCAAATGCCATCCACCGGTTTCTGAAAACGCTCTGTAACACCCGCTTGTGTTTCCCGTCTCCCCCTTTGGCAGGTTTTGGCTATCTGACCAAGCAGCTGATGGGACTGGCCGGTGGTCGGCTGGTGCTGGCGCTGGAAGGAGGTCACGACCTCACCGCCATTTGCGATGCCTCTGAAGCATGTGTTTCTGCTTTGCTTGGAAACGAGGTAAGAGCTGACTGGAGATCAGGCGGCGGGTGTGACTCAGGGATGGACAGGGCTTTATGAATGTAGGAGAAGATAAAGGAATAGAGTGATACTTCCTCCAGGGATTAGCAGTATAGATTTTTTTTTTCTTTTGGCCTGGTTATGCAGATTTTACTAAATAGAATTTTAAAAACCAAAGTAATTTTTGGAGATCTAATGGCATTGAGGACAATTTGAAAAATATTAACTTTTATATAGCTGTGTTATTAAAGTATAAACATTATCATAAATTGTATTTCTATCCTAACATTAAGCATATCTTTTCAAAGTTTGCAAAAAAAAAAAAAATTATAATAATAATCCCAAATTTAAACTAGATTAACAAGGTTTGTCAAGTTTTAAGAAGCTTAAAGTTTAACAGAATTTTTACATTTAACATAGCTTAAAGTTTAAAAGTTGTTTTAAGTAGTTCTAAGTTTTAAGAAGCTTAAAGTTTAAAAGCAGTTTTAAGTTTAAAGTTACTAAAGGTTTTAAAGTAGTTTTAAAGTTAAAGTAGCTTAAATTTTAAAATTAGTTTTAGGTAGTTCAAGGTTTTAAGTAGCTTAATTTTAAAAGTAGGTTTAAGTTTAAAGTAGCCTAAAGTTTAAAAGTAGCTTTATATTTAAAGTTGTTTAAAGTTTAAAATCAGATTTAAGTTTAAAGTAGCCTAAGGTTTAAAAGTAGGTTTAATTTTAAAGTAGCTTAAATTTTAAATTTTGTTTTAGGTAGTTCATAGTTTAAAGTAGCAAAGCAGTTTTAATTTTAAAGTAGCTTAAAGTTTAAAAGATTATTATTTGACATTTAGCATTTTATCAGTTCTTTCTCATGTGATACAATAAAATGTGCATTAACACAGATTTAATATTTTAATATCTAATTTTGAGTGCATCTAAATTTAATTTACGGTTTGGAAGTTTTGTTACTTTTTGTCATTTTTAACATTTTAAAAAAGAATATTTGGTCTTATCCTGACCAAATTTCCTAGCTTGAATTAGGCAGTCTATTTGATGTGATTGATCTGAAAGAAGAAAACAAGTCTTAGTTTTAGATTTTAACATAACTTTTTAAGAAAAAAAAGTCAATAATAAAAAAAAAAAAAACAATAATCAGTCCATTTTGGTTTTCATAAAAGGTTTATTACAAGTACTTTCATGGTTAGGTTTAGAATGCAGGTTAGGATTATGGTTAGTTGCATGTAATTATGCGCAATTATTTATAGTTAATATGGTAAGTACTTGGAACATGTGTAACAAAGATTTCTTAATTTTAAGTGTTACCGCATTTTACATTACAAAAATATGAATTTATGATATGATCTTGAAGACCATTTTGTGACATTTCAGTGTATTAAAAAAAAAAACAACAATGAAAATTTTAGGTGCTGTTTCTATTTACTAAACCGAACCTCAGTCTCAGTTTTTTCTTGACTTGTCCTTCCTCCACCCACCCATCTTTTGTGTTGGGTGTCACAGACGGGATGTTTGTCACAGGGTGTGTGTTTTTAGCAGCACTCCCTTCACTCTGGCTCGACACCAAAGTTCCGCCGACACACTCATAGTCCAGTCTGAGGGTGGAGGGAGTGAAAGAATAGCGAACGCTTCTTATTTATTGACTCGTCTGTGTGTTTCAGGAAGAGGCATTTCTTTAATGTTCCCATTTCTCATTTTCACTGCTGTTCTTTCTATTCATCTTCTTCATTCAGGACCTTTCCTTACTCTATCTAAATCAAATGTGCTCGTGTTGTGGCTCCGCCTTGCTGTCTAAACCGTATCGTAAATCTGAGTGAACCTCATAAGTGAACGATTTGGAAGATTCTGCATGGACAATAACATCAGCTAAAGATGCAATACTGTAATGCGAATAACATACACGGCACAATCAAACATCAGGCAGTGATGCCAAAATTGAGGCAGCTTAGGAGACTTTTAAGCTGAATACTATAGTATCTTGATAATATCTAGTAAATTATTATTTTCTGTCATCATGGCAGAGATCAAATAAATGAGTCATTAGAAGTGAATTGGTAAAACTATTATGTTTAGAAATGTATTTAAAAATCTTCTCTCCATTAAACAGAAATTGGGGAAAACATAAACAGAGGACTAATAATTCTGACTTCAGCTGTAAATTGAGTGTTGGTGTAGCACCTGTTCTCCCTAGAGCCTCTGCTTCAAACAGACTCTGGAGAGTTCACACTGGATCCACATCAACTTCACCTCCGCTTCAGTGCAATGATAAAGCACCTGCTTCCGGCCAAAACCGAGTACAGGCCGAGCTCTCATTTCCTAAAGTCTGCTGTCTGGATAGAGCTGCTCTACTCGAGGCATCAGTGATGTCCGGCATGGGTCTGCAAGTGAATGAGGCCCACAGAAAACAATTATGTTACTGAAACAGTGCCTACAGTTTGCTTAGCTGGGCAAATGTCTGAGATTTTTACCTTTAATATTCACAAAATGTCTTGGAAATTAAATAGTGTCCTGCTGTTATTATTTAGAATTATTATGTATAGAATTAATTCATTAATTTTAATTCAGCTTAGTTCTTTTATTAATCAGGGGTTGCCACAGCGGAATGAACCACCAAATTATCCAGCATGTTTTACACAGCAGATGCCCTTTCAGCTGCAACCCGGTACTGAGAAACACCCATACATACTTATTCACACAAACACAGTACTGCCAATTTAGCTTGCCCAGTTCACCTATAGCACATGTCTTTGGAGTATGGGGGAAACCGGAGTACTTGGAGGAAACCCACACCAACACAGGGAGAAAATGCAAAATCAGCGATCTTCTTGCTGTGTGGCGACAGTGCTAATTTCTAAGCCACTATGCCGCCTCAAATGTATAAAATTATTATTTTTATTTATTTTGTTATACTGTAATTATTGTCAAATGATTAATCATGATCAATAGCATTCAAAAAGAAGTTTGTACTATAGTTTGTATATGTATTATTATCAACACAATCTCAAGGCAATTCGTAACTTTTTGATTTAGTGGCTAATTCATATGAATTCGTGTGATCTAATTCGTACAATTTAGCACGACTTGCTCATCCCCCAATGACGGTTGGGTTTAGGGGTGGGGTTAAGTGCCACTCCTCCTTTTTAAAATCGTTCAATTTTGTACGAATTAGCCACTAAACTTGCAAAACGTAAAATGCTTACATTTTCTCGTGAGATCAGGCTGATTAATATACATAAACGTATACATTTTTTAAAAAATTACATTTAATTTACACTGAATATAAATACTTAAGATATAAACAAATGTTTTCTCATATATATATATATATATATATATATATATATATATATATATATATATATATATATACATTCATGTATGTATGCATTTATAAATATGTGCAGAACACATAAAATACACTGAATAGTCTGGATATACAGTAAACGGTATTGGGTGGGAAAAAAAGGGTCACACTTTATTTTGATGGTCCGTTTGTTGAATTTAAGTTACATTGCAACTAATTCTCATTAGATTATAAGTGGACTGTTAGGTTGGGGTTAGTGTAAGTTGACATGTACTTGCAAAGTTTTTTATAGTCAGTTCAATATCTGTTGAAGGAGCAGTATCAGCAGATATTCTACTAATACTCAACTGGACCATCAAGATAAAGTGTAACCCAAAAAAGTGATGTTAAAAATTTTTGTTCATTTAAATATTTCATTCAATCCCATTAAAATGGGGGAAACATTGTACACTGTTTTGCAAATGTACAAATTGTGTATTAAATTATTATTTTTACTTAGCAGAATAATTTTATTTAGCAGAACTTTTATCTAAAATAACTTAAAATTAAGGACAGTGGAAGCACTTCGGTCACTAAAAAAAAAAGACTTAAGGTTATTGCACACTGAATCTGGAATTTTTGTCCATAATTTTGGCACGTAAAAAAAATTATTCGACCTCTCTTTGTATGAATCATATTAACACACTGTTCCGAAATGTACGTCTTTCATAAAAATTTAAACCGGGCTTGATTTTTAATTTTTTTTTTTCACCGTTCAGTCACTGTACAAGTGAAAAGCTAAATCCAGAATGCCATCATTTGAGCTACAGATAACTTTATGATGAACACAGTGCATTGTAGCGGACAGTTGAGAACCCCTGTATGCTATATTTAGTGACTGATGCACCTCTGCCCTGCTGTTTGGTGTGTGTCAATACATTTGATGTCCTGCATAGACATTATGATAGAAATCTTTGGTTTGTTGCTTCGACACATCAACGTGGCCGCCATCTATAATGTGTATAGGTACTGCCAGTCTCTGACGTGACTTAAGACTTGCAATGTATCAAAATTCCACTGATTTCCTGAAATAAACTTTGCATTTGGGGATAATCCAGCGCAGATCTTTGATAATGATATGTGGCCTATTGCTCTTTCTACTTTGGAGAAGAGAGAGAAGAACAAAGTAGCACTGCTTGAACTGACTCCGAAATGTTTTGCGTTTTTTGGTAATGGATTAATTAATACACATCGGACTCAGTGTGCAAGGTTTGTTTACATGACAAATTTTTCGCATATGACTATAAAAAAAAACACATTAAGATTTCGGACTTCAGTGTCCAAAGACCTTTAGAGTTTATACTTTATTGTCATTTTTCTTGTGGAACAGTTTCGACAAAATCAATATTACATACTCTTCAACCAAAAAGCAGCAATATGCAACTGCAGTTACAAGTTCACAAGTTTTGGTAGCGTGTTTAACTTGATAGATACATAATAAATAGGGTCGACTATTATGTTAGGCTTAAGTTTGATAGGTGTCGTCAGCATAGCAATCGTATGAAAATCCATGTTTGTGACCCCATGTCATGTGAATGAAGAAGTGAAGTGGTTCAAGAACAAAGCCTCAAGGCACCCCACACACAGAAGGCATGATAATCGAAAACCGCTTCCCAACATGTTTTTGTCACTTTAAAAGACATCACATCATAAAACATCAGATTCAGGTG